ACTCCCGCCGGTCTTTCTGGTTCGGCAATGGGGATTTGGTTTCATTTTTAGTGGCTCTCTTCTTAGCTGCTGTATGCATTGTACCCTTTATGTAGAGGCGGCTGGCGCAGACAAACGAGTCAGGAGAGTTAGCCAATTGATTTATCTGGTTGCCCTGTAAACCCGTGCATTTGAAGTGTCACCAGACCTTGAAGGTATTGCATTGCATACTGCGTCTTACGTACGACGGACAGCCATTTGGTCCACATCTGTCTTGGTCCATCGATGGCTGCAGAGAGCAGTCTGGGTTCATCAATGTTACGAGTGAGACTGGGTGAAAAATAGCAACTTAGTGCAAAACAACAGATGTTATCATGTAAATGTTATATCGGTGTGGGAAACTTCAAGAAGTGACTCGTGTGTACTCTGTGAATAGATTGAGCAGCAAGAGAGTTCGCTCGCAAACCTGTCCGAGGGAAAAACGAGACCGATTTCATACATACCGCGCAAGAGCTAACGTGCCGCGCAAAAGCTATCACACCAGCCGACTATCACACATTACCGTTGAGAAAACGTGCTGTGCAGTCTGCTTTGGAATACATGGTGTGATCCGTAGTCGGAGAATCATGTCATGTTCAGTTGAGGGAAAATCACTGGGGTGCGAGATATTAAATTAGGCACAAATCTTGACCTATCAATAGGATCCTTAAAGGTTGGTGACGCGAATACCCACAGAGATATACTATCCTATTTTGCGCATGACGTGGGTTGTTTGGACGACCGCACCGGTGTTCCAAAAATTATCATGCATCGCCTACACTGCCGTCGAACTAAGACAATTGAAGTTCAAGCGGTACCGTGGCTCCGACTTGCGTGCATCTAAAAAGCAGAAGCTCTGCGTTTTTTTGAAATTCTCTGAGGTCTCAAACGGCAGTATGCTAATTGTGGGCGATTTTATTGCACACATCTCGGGAAAATAGTGGGACCCCCTAAAAGGTTTACGTGCGAGCCCCGGCATATAATTTTACAACGCATACTTGACAAATGCTTGGGGGATCACCAAGAAAAAGGAGCTTGGGGACGTTTTTAACGCCAATTAGCCAATGGCAACTTAAGTAACTTGCGGCTAATACTTAGAAAGCAACCAGATATTAGCCATCGTGTGGTCTTCGGGGTCAAATTGCCCAAGGGAAATCGGAGCCACACGAAACGGGTTGTCAGTCACAATGTATTGGACTTGGAGCCTGTTTTCACGGATGCCCAGTAGATGGACTGAGGTATATGCGGCAGCAATAAACCGGGCGCTCGATATGTCATAGCATCCCAATCCTGTTAGTAAATCAACTTAGTCAGTGGCGTTACGGAGGAAGTACGCAACGCTCGTGGACTTTTGTGGTCTACAACAGATGAATCTATTTATCCGAGATAAAATCCCCTGGCCTTTGAAGTTATAAGGTTCTTTGGTACAGCTGGAAGAGGAAATATACAAGCAAATAGCAGAATAGTGAGAAGACATTACTTTAAATAAAGCAACACGGATACAAAACCTGTAATAGCCACTGCCACTAAGAACAGGGGTGATGGGGCAGATTGTCCCGATTTGACGTTCCAAACATCTGTCTTCAAATAAAACAGAACATTATTAGGTCGAATGTGTTCTAGTCTTGTGGTGGTTCTCAGCCTTGAACTCCCTTGCGCTTGTAGTGCTCCGGCTACCCAATCGGTTAGTTCACTAGGAGTGTGCGTCAAAAGAGAAAAATAACGCTAGGTTGGGTAGACAATAATAGAGGTCAGACGGAACAGGCTCACTGACAATTGTTCTCTGGCCCAGGTCAGCGAATAAACTTATATCAGTTATGGTGGTCCATGGGTCTTCTTCTGAACAGCTCCCACACATAATGGATTCCGAAGGTGGTCTGAAATGTTTTGATATCAGGGTTAGCACATGAGACTCGCGAATGACCGCTGCTAACGCGAGCGAAATCAGAAGAGAGAGAGTCGAAGCACGTGACCACGCTTGTCTTCTGTGAAATTGTGCAAGTGCACGTTCTTGTAGTTTACGTATTCAAACAAAAAACGATTATGCAACTGATGAAATACCTAGTGTTATGATGAAAGCAAAATAAAGGTACAAAACGCCACGAACTAACTAGGTTTCGGGGACAGTCTATACTGACAGAACTCGCGGACAACACCGTAAGAGCAAACTCCTTCTCCGGGAAGCTAGTGAAGGTCCAGGGCTGGATCTTGCCCTACGTAGCAAGTGACTGAAACCCCTCGATGTTTAAGGTTCAGAAAGTCTAAATCTGGGTCTCCATGTTCTTACAGGTCACCTGTGTTGGCTTACAGCCCCTCAATGAGCCTTATCGTCACCACCTCTAAAGGCTATTGGCAAGCACCGTGACAGCAACTCTAGAAGCAGGATTGATGCCTCTGAAATCCATGATACGATACAGAGTGACATATGAAAGTCCTTCCACGTGTATCCTAATAGTAGATAAGTGAAGTCAGGTATGTTAAAGGTAAAGCACAAAAGGATAAAGGGAAGGTGCACGTATAAACACATAGAAGACTCGAAAGTGATTGGAAAATATTTTGAAAAAAGTTGACGGGAGTTCAGCACACTGATTTTTGCGCTTCCATCTATGGCGCTCTAATGTCGCATCTGCTACTTGGACTAAAATGCAGGAGACATTAGAGCGGCTAGAAGCACAATGCATTTATCTGCAAAACCCCTGCGGATGAAATAAAAACTTCAAAACGTCAAAATGTTGCACTTCTTTGCATATATGCTCAGAGTGAAAACCCCCCTCATCCGCCGTCATTATTTTGCGATTTGTTTTAATCGATCTTTTTTGAAAATTATTGGCGAATATTCGGCTTTGTACTTCGTCTGCCATGGCTTCGGAAGTGGCAAATTTGTGGGGGTATCGTTTTCATCCTTCACGGGTTTTGAAAAGCGCTTCAATGACTTGGATAACTTTGCGGTCCTTGTGCGTTCATCCAGTTAATCGAAGCTCAACGCTATTTTGCGTTACGAACGGGTGCACCACAAATGCAGCAGGCGCCCTCCAAGACCAACGGAATGCCGTGGAATCCGAAGAAAGTAGTAAGCCGAGCGTATTTTCTAATAATAAATGTAGGCAAAGGAACCAACTGGCAGTGACATCTTATTTCCTGGAACACAACCACAAACTGTCAAAGTTTCTGTACGATCGGCTTCCAGTCAATCGACGCCTAACCGAAGACGAGTTGGGCACATGCCAGGCCCTGCTGAGGTATGGAACGCTGACACCAGAGGTGCGTCAGTCTGTGGCGGATGAATTCGGAAAGATACTTACAACTAAGAATATACACAACAACCGCCGGAAGTGTCGCCCGGTTATGTTGAGTTGGTGCCGAATGGTTGGGTTTTAATGTAGCAGATGATATGCCTTTGATCTTGGCAAAACTTCGGGAGACCGGACGCGTCCTTGTGTGTCAGGGAGAGGAAGGTCACTATAGCCACATATGTTTCTCCCGACGGCAGCAGATAGCGTTATTCCGACGCTTTCCAGATGTAGTGAACGTGGACGGGACACATGCAACAAACCGCCTTGGGTAAGTTTTTTAAAGCATCTAATATTCGGCATTTAGATATAAACTATACACATTCTGGATAACGGACGGCATGAGAACAGGGCGTCCGGTTATGTATGCGTCCGTAGAGAGCGAGCAGTTTGCTCCCATGCGTAAACTGTTCGGCTTATTCAAAGAAATGATGGGCGAAGCGTATCCGGTCAGGACCTTGTAGTGGACAAGTTGGCGGCGCAAATGCGTGCGGCAAGGGTCGTGTTCGACTGTAACGTTATGCTTTGCTACTTTCATGTCCGCGAAGCCATCAGGAAGCACGTATGTATCATTTAATATCCATGTATTTTTGGTCATAGACACATTCTGCGAACAGCCGGCACATATTTCACTGCATGTCTCGCCTGGACAATGCTGTACAGTAGGTAAGGTTCGTGTATGCATGTCTCGTGTACATGTAAGTCTCGTATTTCTTGAGAGGTGCAGTAAACAGGCATGCAAAATAACCGTTGAAGATGGCATTGTGTGAACGGGCATCTACGACAGCATAGTCGCTGCAGTGAATTCTGGGGTAAGTATCTCTACCTGCTTGTCGGCCGCCCGCCTTATGGTGATATTTCGATAACCTGAATTATATCTTCCTCTCATTTCAGGACTTCAACGGCCAAATGAACGCTCCTCACGAAGAAGAAAATGTGCCTCCATCGATAAACCTCGAGTTCTTTCGAGCATAATTCGCAACCTATAATGAAAAACTGTGGTTTTTGCCAGCAAACGTGCACGGTGTTTAGCAACTAATTAGCGTGCACTACGGAATTTTCACTGGCAACAAAGAATCATCAACCAAAAGTTTTTTGCACGAATGAGCCCACTCATATGTTGCATTTCCAAAGGCCATTTAGATTCTAGAATGTTGAGGAAATTTGTTCCGGTGTAAAGATAGCTAAAAGTTACGTTCATTGTATGTGAGTCAACCTTTTCCACAATTCGCGTTTTTTTATCATCAGGTAACGTATTCACAGTCGGCGGTGTTCATTGACCTTGTGAATTCACTCACATAAACAAATTGCCATAGCAAATGAGTTTCAGTAATACAGGATTATATACATTATACATAGACATTCTACACTATGAAGTTGCAAGTCTGAAAATGCGGTAGATTTCGAGAAATCAATCTCATTGTGCGAATAGCCGGCGGCGGCACCAACCGTAACTTCGAGACCCATTTTCTCTCGTGCCTTTCGGGTGAGCAGGGGCCGCTGAACGACTAAAACACACCTGACCCACGAAGCTATGGAGAAAGGCTCGAAATCGAGTATCCACCAGTGATTCCATGGTCCCGGGGCCTTTCACTGGACAAGATTGTTTATTTTCACCAATAGTATGAAGCAGCGGCCGATAACTTGATCCGGCGCGCTGTGTGATGCGCTCTCGGCGGGTGGTTCAGCGCCCTGGCTTCTTCTCGTGGAATCATGAAGCATAAGTTGAGTGATGGGGGGTCACCATATTTTTACAAATTCCGGAAATCCGAATTCGGCTCATCCTGGGTTCATCATAATTCAACTTCTGTCGGTTCCCTGCTGGACCTTTCGGCGAAAATGGTTGCTGAATGCCTACCATTCGAATATGTGGAGAAGATGTTAGTACACATTCCGGAGCCCGTACAGGAGAAGATAATATACTATTCCTTCCCGCGTCGCGACAGTGATATATACACCTATGCATCCTTTCACCCAAAAGGTGACAAGTGTCGTGACAAAATTCCATATTACGAGGGACTGGATCACTTTCAGAACGGCTGTGTAGAAGACGTTGTACAAATAGGTAAACCTGGAATCGCCCTTTTTCAGTTTCAGGGTTCCATCTAACCGGTTGCGTGAAACAACAAAACTTGTGCGTCTCTCCTGACTCGGAACGACGGAAGTTCGAAGTGTCCATTACATTCGATAGGTATTCGAGTACTTTAACATGTGACAGTTGTTGCTAGATGCAAAATAATTTCAGTATGCTGTGATTGTGGGAACAAAGGTCTTTCATGGTGCCCCCATGTGGTCGCGTTGGCGCTTTTCAGGATTCGCCAACCGCATCTGGTGGATTATCGCTCCCCTATTTCAGGTGAGAACCTGCCAATGTATTACGCGCTGTTTATCCCCGTCTAAGTGGCAATCCCGGGACCAGCTCTTTGGGCGGCACTTTGAGTGAATAAGTTCGCGCTCTAACCACGTAGTCATCTCTATACCAATCCAACACCCACAGTCCCCTACTACGTTAGCCAGCGAAAAATGGGTCTAGCACACTTCCTCCTGACCCTCCTGGTTGAGAGTTGGATCTAAATGCTCATTTGACCCCTTAACAACTCTCCTGAGACAAGATTAGCCGGCTCCCGAATAGTCTCGAGTATACGCTACCCAAATGGCTATCGGCTGCCATATATGCGTAGTACTGAGTGGTGAATCACGTGAAGACAGAGTTGTTTTGAATGGTTTCGGACCAGTGCCCTGGCTAAGGACTAACTAGACTGTTGGTCGAGTTTTACTAATGTCCTATTCTTGTGTGTTCTTAATATGTTTGAGTGAGGAGAAGCGGGTGGCTTAACCCAAAGAACTAAGGCTGATGAATCGTACTACTTTCGCTAGAATAGTATATGAAAGTAAAGTCGATGGTCAAACACTAAAAGTCTTCCGACTTCCTCGGTGCGCAGCGGCCAGGTTTCTGATCCGCACCGCACCAATTTAAACTCTATCCTTGACGGTTAAACTGATGTCACGCCTACGCAACAGATGACGCAGGTTCACACAAGGTGCTCTGGCCTTCCCTGTCCCAATGGCAATGCGAGAGACCACCATCAATGATAAAGCTGCCCAGGTAAATAAATTTGTCTCCTACCTCAATTGGTTCATCTGCAAGCATAAGCTTAAGTCGCGAGACCGCCCAGTCTTGCAGTGGCACTTAACACTTTGTCGGTGTGAAGCGCATGCCAAACAGTGAGGTGGAATTATTTAGTATTGTTCGCATTATCACGGGGTCAGACCCGAGAAGAGCTATGTCGTCTGCGTACTCGCTATCTGTGGGCGGACGCTCCCGGGAGCACTCCGACTCCACAGGCGTTAGAGGCTGATAGTGAGTCTTCCATGATCGTATCAGTTACGAAGTTGAAGAGCAAGGGTGAAAGAAGACAGCCCTGTCTGACGCCACTCTATGTGGTGGACTCAGGCGAGAGCTTCCCGTAGACCTTCACACGGCCGCAGGATGGAATCCAGCTTGTTTTTCACGGATCTGTCTCCCCGTGTGTTCACTGATGAGTATGAATTTACTGACCTGGAGGTCCGTAGTTCTTACCCGACCTCTGCATCTCGACTTCTATTTGGGCTTGGGCAACCTGGCAATATCTCAGCCCTCGTGCTTCCTTCGGGTGCTAGGGCAACCAGGTACCGATAGGTTGTTAAAGCTGAACGGTTTATTCAATATTCTATTATCCAGTCAACCTTCGAAGGATAAAACCTGAAAGGACCTTCGATGTCACGGTGGCTTTCACACAGCGTCCGCATACCCTTTTGAAAGCTAGGGATAACTGTTGACATACCCCATTCTGCAAGCACCTTTTCTTCGTTCCCTATAGCACCAATGAGCTTTGTCAGATTGGTCACCAAGGATGGCTTAGTTGGAGCACGGATTCGCTGATTACAAGGTCTGTGGTTCAAACCCGACCTAGGCTTCTCGACTACCCCTGTCTAGGCTTGGGCAACCTGGAAGTATCCCAGCTCTCTTGCTTCCTTCGGGTGGCATGGCAGCTAGGCACCGAAAGTGTGCTGCAGCTGAACGATTATCTTATCTTATTATCACCAGGGATTCTCCGCCTTTGAAGAAGGTTTGACAGAGGCCGTCATGTCCTGCTGTCTTCTCACGTTTTAGCATGGATATTTCGTACTTTAGTTCTCAAGTTTACATTTTATTCGCCCGTATGCACTATCTCCAGAGGCTGTATTGCAGGAGGGCAGCTGAACTGTTCCTTAAAGTGTTCGCCCATCTTTCCAGTCGGCGTTTTTAAGGGTGAACTAATGAGCCGTCTTTTTTCACTTATCAATTCGCTGACCGTTGCTTTCCTAGGGCCAGTTGATCGTATCAGTTGATATAGGGCACGGCTGTTTCCGGTAGTAAAAGCGTTCTCCATCTCCCGAGTGTTCAATGTCCACCAGATCTCTCGGTCTTTCCTTAGGCTCTTCACTATTTTGCGTCGTACTCGTCGGCTAGTGTGGATTTCCTGGTATTGATCGTGGATAGCGATCTCGACACCCAGTGGTCTTGTGGTCGAATTGGAGAAGTCGAACCAACAGCATTGAACGCCGCTAAGATAGTTGCTTTCACGTTTTGCCACGCTTCCTCCACATGCTCACTGCCACCACAGTATTGGTTCACTGAGCAGCTTTGTTGGATAAGCTCAGATCAGTACTGTTGAGCTGTGGTAGTGCTTCGAAAATAGTGGATTGGCGTGCTTCTTGCTGATTTGTGAGGGCCTGAAGAGAAGCGAACTGCCAGGCGTACACGCACCATGGCGTGATCGAATTCGAGCGGTGCGCTGCAGAAGGAACGGTAGTCTTGAATTGTGGCTCTCCACCGTGGCTACATGGCCCAGCTGGGTCCAAGGTTGATTTGCAGTTGGTGGTCGCCAGGTTACGCGGTCTGAACGTTTATGTTGAAAGTTGGTACTTGCCAGAAACCGTCCGCGATCAGCACACAACTGAAACAGTCAATCTCCGTTGTCTATGCGGCAAGCGTGGACTCCGAATCGACCACTTAAATGTGATTCCAAGGATCTCTGACGACTTACATAAGCATTCATATTGTGTGCAAGGATCACAATGTCAGTGCTGACAGTTAAATGACCAAGCGACGTTTGCTTATGTGGTGGGAAGGGGTTGGAGAGGGACATCAGTGAAGGCACTACTTGGAGAACAATAGGTATGAGGTACAAATGTTCACTTTGTTGGTGGGGGCTATGGACAACTACACATGGGAAGCTCTGATGCAGGACCGGTGTTGACAACGTGGCATGATTATGTATTTCGTTAATTCTAACAACTTAAGTGTCCCATCCTGACATCCCTCATCTAAGGACTGAGTTTTGTAAATAGGGCTTTCACAAGTTCCTTTTCTGACCTCTACAACGTTTCCATTCTATACCCGGCCGAGTGGAACGGCACAACGGCAAACAGAGTGCGTCCTTAAGTAAGTGTTCCCCCTAGAGTGCGATATGCTGTCTGTTGCGGTCGGGTTATCTGTTCCCAGATGCCTCTGGGAACCCAAGGAGTAGCTGTGACCTGGGCGTGGTGGTCGGTCTTTAGCGTTGTAATGATCCTGCGGGTGCAACTTCGTTCTTCAAGATTCAGCTCTGTCAGGAAGGTCAAACTGGAGCAATAAGACAAGCAGCAAATCCCCTTAATACAACTAATCGTAGTACATTATGGTCTAAAGCCGTATTGTCGTCTTCAGTGGGAGTGTAAAGGGAGGTGTTTTCTCTCGGGTAGAAAAACGTAAATGTTAAAAACTTTCAGGGGGCACATGTTCTTGTCTCACGATGAGATCGCGTTTGACGGGATTAAGATGCGATTTTCCTGTTCCCGCTTAGTCAGTCAGCTCCTGAATGTGACTGACAATCTTTTACTGCTGACACCGGTCGAGTCATGATGTAGCGTTGCCGTAGATCAAATACTATCGTAATAACTAATGTACTGGTGATGACGAGCTGTTTGGATGCAGCAAAACTAACAAGACTTGCTGAAATTGCTCCCACCTAAAGGCGTCATCCTTTGGTGATCGGGATTCGGTGCTTCAATGATCCTGTGGGACATACTGGCTAAAACTTAATTCCTGAAGGACCAACCATACCGGGAACACTAACGGGAGCAGTTCGTTGAGTTTGGGATTGCTCAGTGGTTATGGTGGGAACTTACTGACTTGGAGATCGGTGGTTCTAGCCCAGCCTCAACATCTTGACCTGGGCAACCTGACATTAACTCAGCCCTCGTGTTTTCAATAGCATGTTAGCTAGGCACCGAAAGCCTATTACAGCCGAACAATTACTATTATTTACCATAACCCAGCGAAGAACGGCGAATCCCAGTACTACGAGCAATCGTAGTGCCTGGCAGTCTCGTGGTAAAGTCGTACTGTCCTCTTCAATAAGAGTGTGAAGACTGTCTGTTTCAGGCAACCAGCATGTCCGTGTTTATGGAAACAGCGATGCTGCCTTCTCCCGGGGAAGGGATGGTTGGTCCTAAAGACTGCACACTGATCGCACAGCGTTTGACCATGTTCACAGGCGCATTATTCAATATGGTCTAATTACTTGATAAAACCGAAGAGTCTAGTGCTGCTCAGAAGGCACCTCTTTTGCGCAACCACATTCAGAGTCATACAGTTATGCCTTACTACCTGCACCTTCCGACTAGGTAAGCCTCCCACAGCCAAATTGGTTTGGCCGTTATTGACTCTAAGCAGGGTTCCTAAAGAAACCCCTAACGTCTGTTGCCTCATAGGTCCGTTTTTAGTCAGGCTCAAGGACATGTGCCTCAAATAAACCATGTTCTATCTAGCAACTAGGAATAAGGTCTGTCCGAACATAGGAGCAGCGGCTTAATTGATCTTCACCGGCCCCATTTACTGCCAACTGCAATACAGCGCCCATAATGGCTCGATAATTTCAAAGTCGACTACTGACCCTGTATCCATAAAAAAACAAAAATGTTTTATTAAGCTCAAGGAATATGTCGAAAGTTGCACTACCTAATGTTCATACTCTGTTCGGCAGGCCAACTGACCTTCTTGCTCCTACCTTTTCCTCTAAAAACCTACATATGCCTCCGAAGCACGAACTTTACTGTGGTAATGCATCCGGAAACAGTCCAAGACAGTTCGGTTTATTCACCGTTTACTCCAAGTGGACACTTCAGTTCCGCAATGGGAGGTGAAGTGCTTGGGACTAACAGGTGGAATGAAACTTTCGAAGCAGAGCGAGATCCCGGTCCTGACTGTCATTCTGACATTTTTACGAATCAATTAGAGGGACTTGTTCACCTTGACGAAATGGAAGATGAACGAAATACCAAGGGAGTGGT